TGGTCACTGTGGGAAACCGGTAGATGGACTTTTGGCAAAGCTGTTCTTGCAATCTTATAATGAAGCCTCACGTTCTCAGGCTAGTGGGTGGAGCTGAGCAGAATTTGCATTTGAAGCTTGACTGCCTTGTAGAACACATCTCTCCCCACTTCCTATATGCAAACGGCGTTTCTGGTGCGGAATGGGGATGTTACTTTGGGTATGAAATTCTGGCCTTAAGCGAAACATTACAGATATATCCACCAGCTTTCTTTTGGAGTTAGCCCACCTGACCTAGCATCACCTACCTTGATTGGCAGCACCTTTCAAAGCAGAGATACATACTTAACAACGAACGAGCCTAAGAAGAGCTTGGCTGCCGGATCAGGCCCATCTAGGCCAGCATCCTGTTCTCACAACAGCCAACCAGATGCCTGTGACAGACCCGGAAGCTGGACCAAAGGAAAAGAGCACTCTCCCCTCTAGCATCTGGTGGTTCCCTCGCTGCGAGAAGCCAAGTTACAGGGAACCAGGCAGAGGGCCTTCCTGGTAGTGGCACCCGCCCTGCGGAACGTCTTCCCACCAGATGTCAAAGAGAAAAACAACTATCTGACTTTTAGAAGACATCTGAAGGCAGCCCTGTTTATGGAAGCTTTTAATGTTAAACAGTATTTTAATATTTTGTTGGAAGCCGCCCAGTGTGGCTGGGGAAACCCAGCCAGATGGGCAGGGTATGTGTGTGTGTGTGTGTGTGTATTATTATTATTATTATTATTATTATTATTATTATTATTATTATTATCAGAAGCACTACTGCCTCCAACCAGGGAGGCAGAACACAGCCATCATGGCTAGCAGCCATTGATAGCCTTCTCCCTCAAGAATTTCATCACTGCCTCCTGTGGAAGAGAGTTCCCCAGATTAACTATGTGCTTCACGAAGAAGTACTTTTGTTTATCTCTCTATAACAGAATTCAAATTGTAATACAATAAAAGTAACAAAGGGAGCAATATAATTACTATTGTTATTATTATTATTTATTGATTTACATACCGCTTACATGCCAAATGGCTTCTAAGTCATATCTAACTACATAACCATTAGAAGACATCTGGAGACAACCTGGTTTAGGGAAGCATTTTATAGTTTTATTATGTTTTTATATATGTTGGAAGCCACCCAGAGTGGCTGGGGCAACTATTATTATTATTATTATTATTATTATTATTATTATTATACTATAAAATCAATAAATAATTAAATACACAGTCATAGTTCCATTGGGGCATTACAACATCCTTAATTAAAAATATCTCCGCTTCTGGCATCTTCAAGCAGACTGGGAAAACAGACTCTCAACTAAACCTCTGGACAGGAGCTACTTAAATAAAAAGCTGATTAAGAGATTTTAAAAAATAAAATAAAATAAAATAAAGCATCTGCCACAGAAACATTGCTTCCGCAGAATTCAAATTGCAATGCCATGAAATACAATGTAAGAATGAAAGAAGCAATAGTGAAAAATCAATGTGAGCGTTTAATGAGGGCATGCCACGGACCACTTGAAGGATCCTTGTGGGCCACTCATGTCCACGGACCACAGTTTGGGAACCCCTGACGTAAACTAAGGCTATCAATGGCTACGATCCCATGATCTCTATTTGCTAACTCCAGCTCGGCTCTGAATACCAGCTGCAAAGCAGCAAGAATGAAAGTGTGTTTATTTACACTCCTGTCCTCCTTGTGAGTTTCCCATAAGCGCCTGATTGGGCACTGAAGGAAACAGAATGCCAAAGAGCAGATCAGCCTTTGGTTTGACCCAGCTCTTAGGAAGAAGCTACCTCCTCTGATCAAAAAGCTGAATTGTTGTGCGACAATCATACAGAGTGCAATGAGATTGAGTGTTTGCGGGAGGGAGGCTTGATTAATTTCATTGTACACAGGTTGTACATTGACAATAAAGGTATTATTATTCTTGAATCATTTTCCCCATCCCCCTGATGTGTAGGATAGCTGTCCGGAATGCGCTCTGTGCATGCTCAAAGTCCTTCCCAGTTCACAAGATGCATACCAGATGCAAATTTGCAACAGGCTCCAGGTTTAGCCCTGGCAAAGCCCGTTTGAGCTGAAGCCACCTTCCCGCTGGGGATCCAAAGACGAAAAGGGATCGTAAAAGCTCGTTTTTGATTTTGTAGAAGTTCTCCTACCTTGGTGGATGGGGGCACCTCCATGCGTTTTGCCTCCTCGGCGGCTTTCTTGGCCTCCTGCAAGGGAAGAGGGTTGAGCAGGCGATAGGCAGCGAAGCGCCAGCAGCCACAGGCATACCCCAAAAAAGACAAACATCACACGGGCACATGCACACAACCCCAAACCGCAAAAGATAAAAACCAAACGGACTCCCAGACTCCTCCCCTCACGCTCTCTCTCCGTGAAGACCAGGCGAGCAGAGAGCTGACATAGTGAAACCTGCAACTTCCTTGTCCTCGGAGGCACATGGCAGGCAACTGAGGTTACTCTTGATTTATGTTCGCTTTCCCCCACAGCCTGCCCACCGGCTAGACCTCACTACTGACAAGATGTTGCGGTGTTCCGTCTCAAGAAAAGAAAAGGGAGTTGAGCAGAGCAATGATGCTGTTAGTTAATGTTAGGTTCTGGACTTGACGATCTATCGCCAAGGCTTCCTGCAGCTGTTACTGGGGAGCTTTGTGTTATGTTTGTTTTGTTTTCATGGCACAATATATTTATAGTCCTATTCTTCTTCTTTTTTAATGTGCCACAAGTTGCTTAGAGCCCTTCCGGTAACAAGTGGCTAACAGGCCTATTCATTCATTCATTAGCTAATGAATAGCAACCAATATGCAACTCCTAGTCATTTTTTAAACAATGCTTTGACATTCCTGCGTTCCAGGGGGTTGGCTAGATGTCCCTTGGCAGTCCCTTCCAACTCTGCAATTCTATGATTTTCTCTACATTGAAACAAATAGCAGAGAAAGCATTACGTCATTAATTATGTTAAATCCGTAAAGTTGTGTAGCTTAGCATAAATAATTCCCCAGATTACATGAAAGAGCAGGCTACGAGAGCCGCATTTGGCAGAAACCGAACTGCAGCAGAACGGAAAGGGCGTCTCTTGCGACAGAGACAGGTCGGACGGAAAACTGCTACCTTCTTCTCTTCCCAACTTCAACACCCATTACCCAGATCTAGTGGTAGTCTGGCAGTCTGATTCCCTCTGAGCTTCATGGCTAAGTGAGGATTTGAACCCTGATCTCTCCAACCCTGGCCTGATGCTCTGCCACTCTACAACTCTGAATTGCATTTAGGTGCTTTAGCATTTATGGCCTCATATGCAAAGAGTATATGGGTGATATTGTGCGACGGAACCCCATAATGCTGCTAATAGGGGAATCAGGTCCAGTAGATTTCATAGACCTGAGTATGCATGTCAGTTTATTAACCCACCCACCCCACTGCCTTGGCCCCTACCAAATTCTGCCTCATCCCCAAGCTCTTTTTACATCAGAGAAAAATGCAGGCGATGTACATAATGTTTAGCTTGGTCCTCATGCTCTTACACTTTGGGGAATGCATGTGTGTGTTTGTGTTGGGAGAGCTGGAGAGACTTGTGGTATGTATACATGAGTGACATCTTCCCACCCACCCTCAATACCAGGGATTATTCTGAAACCAGAGGAAGGCCAACAATCTTGGCCTGGAATTCGTTGATCTGACTTCTTACCCTTTCCTGCAGCAGCCGCTCTCTCTCGGCCATGGCCTCCCGCACCCTCCGTTCCATCTCGGCCAACTGGGTGACACAGTTCCCAAGGCTGTCAGGAGACATTTCTGGTTAGCGATGGTGGAAGTGAACAAGCAGATATGTCAGGGTGTCAGCCTGAGCCTGTAGTTCAGGACTGGCTGACATGCTTAGTCCCTCCAGATGTCGCTAGACCACAATTCCGATGAGCCCTAGAGAGCACTGCCAATGTTGTAGCTGTAGTCAGAAACATCTGGAGGGGACCACATTGGCTGCCCTGCGGTGGTGCATCAACATCTGGAGGGCCACACACAGTTCTAAGTATTTCAAGAGACACAGCGCCTCTCTCCACCTCTCTCTCTTCCGCAGGAGGGAAAGTGGGAGATCTCATGAGTCCTGCTGGATCTGGTCAAAGGACCGTCTAGTCCAGCATCCTGTCCTCACAGTGACCAACCAAAGGAGAAACCCACAAGCAGGACATGAGTGTGACAGCTCTTTCCCCTCCTGCGATTCTCAACAATTGGTATTAGAGGCATACTGCCTCAAAGGATGGAGGGAAGAACATAGTCACTGATCAAGCCAAGCAGACTTGCTAAGATGTATAAGACTGAATCAGATAAGTGCTGGAGATGCAATGAGGTTAAGGGTACGTTCTTTCATATGTGTTGGACCTGTAAAAGGGTAAAATAGTATTGGGAAATAATTCATAATAAATTGAAAAAAATGTTGAAAAGCACTTCCCCCCCCAAAAAAAACAACAACAACCCCAGTGTCCTTTTCATTGGGGATAATTCAGACGGAATTTCCCAGGTGTCCAAAAAATTATCAGCCCCCAAATGGAAAACAAGCGAGGTCCCAACTAATGAAGAATGGCAACTTAAACTGATGGAATATGAGCAGCTTGTGGACCTAACAAATAGAATAAGAGAACAAGAAGAACATACATTTAAAGAAGATTGGAAAAAGCTTATTGAATATATGGGGGGGAATTGTGTACACTTGAAAAAGTTGGCAGCATTAAGATAAATTCAACAGTGTAAATAAGTTTTGATGGATGTAATACAGTGGTGCCCTGCAAGACGAATGCCTCGCAAGACGAAAAACTCGCTAGACGAAAGGGTTTTCCGTTTTTTGAGTCGTTCCGCAAGACGAATTTCCCTATGGGCTTGCTTCGCAAGACGAAATGTATTGCGAGTTCTTGCGAGTTTGTTTCCTTTTTCTTTAAGCCGCTAAGCCGTTAATAGCCACTAAGCCGTTAAGCCGCTAATAGCAGCTAAGCCGCTAATAGCCGTGCTTTGCAAGACGAAAAAACTGCAAGACGAAGAGACTCGCGGAACGGATTAATTTCGTCTTGCAAGGCACCACTGTAATGGAATACTGAATGGTTTAGTTTATGTAAAATATGCAGGGATTTATATTATGCAAAATGAACCATGGAAAAAGAAGAAGGGAAGTCATTGATATTTTAAGGTTGTTTAAATGATTATTCTAAATTGTAAAACAGAAAATTTAATAAAAAATGTTTTTTAAAATCTGTTCAATCCTCTTTTAAAGCCATCTAAGTCTGGGGCCATCACTGCCTCATGTGGAGTCCCATGGTTTAATGTACTAATGGAATGGTGCCTGCCGAGTGGAGAAGGCCGGCGTGCCAAGGAAAATGCAGCTATCAACTGGGGAGGTGTTTGTTGGGACAGGCTGAGATTAAGGAGAAATGGATGTGCTCACCTATAGGCTCCTTGGCTGGACCCTCCTAGCTGCCCCACAGCTCCTTGGCCGGCCAGCAGCTGGTAGAGGGGTTGTTGAGTCGTGAATATTGCAGGTTTGGGCTGCCTAGGTAGGGCCTGTTGCCCCCACCTGAGAGCTGTGCTGCCAGCATGCTGGGATCCAGAGCACCTGGAGGGAGAGAGGAGGAAATCCAAGGAAAGTGATTGGTTCAGCATCTCCCAAAAGACACAGGACACATGGTCCTCATCAGAAGACAGTGAAACAGACCATTGGTCCTCTAGCTCAGTACACTGATTGGCAGCGACTTGAACCTGGGAAATTCTGTATGCAGGGCGGATGCTCTCTCTCTGAGCTATGGCCCAATAACTCCCCCCCCAAAAAAAAACCCTCTCTGGAAATTCTAATTTTGGATATAATTGGTCACAACATAGGGTTCAAATCCCCACCCAGCCAGGATGCTCCCTGTGGAGCCTTGGACCAGTCACTATCTCTCAACCTGACCTACCTCACAGGGTTGTTGTGAGGTTAAAATGAGAGGGGAGAACCATGCACACACCACACTGAGCTCCTTGGAGGAACAGTGGAGTATAAATGTACTAAACAAATAACAGGTCCATTTGTTTCCCTGCTGCACCATTTAGATAAAAGAGACCGAGTTCCTGTAAAACATCTTATTTCAAACCTCTTGGTTCACTGCTTAGGTGTGGTTTGTTTGTTTGTTTGTTTGTTTGTTTGTTTGTTTGTTTGCCAGCCACCATGAAGTTCAAACCATGCCATCAGTGAAAGAATGGCTGTCTAAAGGCTAAGAGTTGACTCCCCCTGGAAAAATCATGGCTTCAGGTTGTTTTGGACTACAATTCCCATCAGTGGCATAGCGTGGGTTGTCAGCACCCGGGGCAAGGCAAGTAATTTGCGTCCCCTAACCCGTGGATTTGCGCCCCCTAACCCTAACCCCCAGATGTTGCGCCCGGTGCGGCCGGACCCCCCTGCACCCCCACGCTACACCACTGATTCCCATCATCCCTACCAAGGGTCATGATGGCTGTGGCTAATGGGAGTTGTATTCTAAAATGCCTGGCGGGCACCAGGTTGGGGAAAGCTGTCTTAAGAGATTGCAAAGGTGGGTTTACCGCTGGCCCATACTTGTTGGAGGAGAAAGTGGCTTTTCACATCAATGGGTAAGGTGGATAGCATTCACTGTTTACTGGAATGGGTGTTGTACTTTTCGTTTCATTGGATAGAAGTCAGTTTTGTGCTAACGTGATAACAACAACCTCTGCAACCAAAATGTCATGTATATGAACCTTACCCACCCACCTCCAAAAATAGTATTCCTTGAATTTTCCCCTTTTTCTTGTCTCATGCTTTCTGCCCACTCCAAATAACTGGTTGCTAGCTCATTTCTGGGCCCAATCCAAGATGCTCACATTCATGTTTAAAGCTGTAATTGACTTAGGCCCCAAATACCTGAAAGACCACCTCCTTCTTTGATTGTTGTAACCCACCCTAGAACCTTAGGGTGAAGGGTAGGTAATTAATAATAATAATCCATACCATGCATAGAGAGGGGGCGCTGTGCAGTCCTGGCCGTGAGGCGTTCTCCTCTCCTACGGGGGAGACTTGCGGTCCTCTGCAATCCAATTGATCCCTGGACAGAGAAAACAGGAAGGTAAGAATTAGGGTCGGAGCTCCCACTCCACTTCTCCCCTCATGCTTTGAAAAGAGCCAGGTTTTCGTTTGTTTGTTTGTTTGTCTGGTAATTTCTTAGGCAACTTTATGAGAATTACATCCAGTAAAATCCATCACACATAAGCAACAGCACTTACCTCTTGAGCACCAGAAATAGAGGGAATGATTCAACAACGTGGAAGAAGGGTCTATTAGCCACAAGTGGCATCTAACTTAACTTGTTCCTTCAATGGAAGGATTTAGAGCAAAATATACTGTGCATCAGGAGGCTTGGTTTGGTCAGAATCAAGTAATCACTTCTGCTAAATGAGCCACAACAACTGCTAGAAGGCCATGAAAATTTGTGCCCTGGGCTTTTAAAATTTGTCTGCCCACATACTACCTGAAACTAAGGGGGCGCATTGGGTGCCAGATGTGAAATATATTGGCATTATTTTCAGCTCTCCTACCCCACTGGGTGCTCCAAATCCTTTACAGTGTGCAGGGGCTTCCACAGCAGATAAACCAATGTTTACAAATTGTTTCCCCAAGGCAGAGCCTTCAAAAATCTCTGCTTTGAAAAGAACCCCTTGTTTCTACTTTTCTCGTTTGGTTAACGATTCCTTGCCAGAGGGAGGTGCTGCAGCTTTGTGTGTGAAGTTCCCCCATAGAATGATCCATTAAAACCCCAGGGGACAGCTTTGCGGTGAAGATGCCTTCAGGTTTTGACTCCACCTACCCTGGTTGACCACTGGATTCCTCTGGCCAGGGAGAGAGTTTCCTTTGCCAGCTGAGACTCGCAACAAGAGTTTCTCGGGCCCGAGCAATAGCATATTCCTGAATTATGAGTTATTTGTTGATCCTAGCTTGCTCCTCACACCTGACTCTGGTTCGCCCTCTGGCTGCGATTTGCTCTTTAGTCGTGACTGACTGACTGATCTCATGGCTCCTGGTTCACCTGCTACTACCTTGCAAGGCTCAGCCCAAATATTCCCCTTGTTGTTGTTTAGTCGTTTCCGCCTCTTCGTGACCCCATGGACCAGAGCACGCCAGGCACTCCTGTCTTCCACTGCCTCCCGCAGTTTGGTCAAACTCATGATGGTAGCTTCGCGAACACTATCCAACCATCTCGTCCTCTGTCGTCCCTTTCTCCTTGTGCCCTCCATCTTTCCCAACATCAGGGTCTTTTCCAGGGAGTCTTCTCTTCTCATGAGGTGGCCAAAGTATTGGAGCCTCAGCTTCACAATCTGTCCTTCCAGTGAGCACTCAGGGCTGATTTCCTTCAGAATGGAGAGGTTTGATCTTCTTGCAGTCCATGGGACTCTCAAGAATCTCCTCCAGCACCATAATTCAAAAGCATCAATTCTTCGGCGATCAGCCTTCTTTATTCCCCTAGCAAAGGGCAATCTCATATTCCCAAGTCTCTGTCCTTTTGCCCCATGAGTCACTGCCATGTCTACTAGCCACTATGACTATGCACTACCCCCACAGTCGGAGACAGTAATGTTTCTGAACATCAGCAGCTGGAAACCACAGGAGGGGAGAGTGCTCTTGCGCTCGGTTCCTGTTTGCAGGTTTTGTTCCATTGCAAGAACAGGAAGGTGGGCTGGATCCAGCCGGTTCTACTTGTGTTCTTATGCCAACACGCCATCTTTGTTCCAGAATCTACCTTGCAGTGGTGGCTGGTGCCCATTGGAACTGGTAGGGCAGGAGGGCAACAGGAAGTGGAACCACAGCCAGGGTCAGAAGGCAGGTATGTGAGGATTGGGTGAGGGCAGGCTGAGATTGATGAATGTGTCCCATTTGCCCTAACAGACCTCCACTGCAGCAGTAAAGCCATTGGATATCTGCTGCCTCTACTGCTGGTCCATGATCCAAAGCACCCTGAAAAGATGCAGATGCCTCATCCTCTCCCATCAAAGACAATGCAGATCCAAAGGAGCTATAGCAAACACCTCACATAACCTGGTGCCCTATGGATGTTTGGGAGTTGTAGTCTGCTAACATCCAGAGGGCACTAGGTTGGGTGTGTGGGGGAAGCGCAGCTGCAGAATCACGTCTGTACACATAAAAGGAAGATAAGACACTGAAAATCAACACAGACCAACAGGACAAGACAGACCTTGACAGAACTGCGGACGGAGAAGACACAGGAGGAGGAGTCTGATTGGTCGGAACCCAACACAATGACCTTCCGGTCCGTCTTTTGGGTGAAAGTGAGCTGCAGGGAGAGACAGACACAGATAAAAGGATGGAAGCGGTGTTTCTCCCCCCCAACCCCCCCCCTGAAATCTAAATCAATCCTCTGTTGCTTTTACCACCAGAACCAATCAAAAAGGTGTGAGATTTTTCAGCACAGTCCCAGCAAGCTTTTCACATGTGGTCTGGCAGCATACACGGTAGTTTACATGACTCCCCTGCCCTCCTCCCCTGCAAGATTGGAGAGGCCGAGTTGACTCGCACAAATTTAACCTGGTTAAACTTCCCTAAACAGGGCTGCCTTCAGATGTCTTCTAAAAGTCAGGTAGTTGTTTATCTTTTTGACATCTGATGGGAGGGCGTTCCACAGGGCGGGCGCCACTACCGAGAAGGCCCTCTGCCTGGTTCCCTGTAACCTCACTTCTCACAGGGAGGGAACCGCCAGAAGGCCCTCGGAGCTGGACCTCAGTGTCTGGGCTGTTTGATGGGGGTGGAGATGCTCCTTGGGGTATACTGGGCTGAGGCTGTTTAGGGCTTTAAAGGTCAGCACCAACACTTTGAATTGTGCTCAGAAACATACTGGGAGCCAATGGACCGGTGTTATATGGTCTCGGCAGCCACTCCCAGTAACCAGTCTAGCTGCCACATTCTGGATTAGTTGTAGTTTCCAGGTCACCCCTAGCCCTTGAATATAGGTTTGCTTGGTGCCCACACAACACACTCCTCAAAATGACTTTCTGTTGTATATTCCCATTTAACATGGATTTACCATTTCTGCAGAAAATCAGATCAGCACATGGAAATGGTGAGTCCAGATTGAACAGGGAATAAGAATATAAGGATGGCATTTTGGGGAGTACTAAAAAAAATGAGCACCAGGTCTTAAATTTCAGAAGGCTGCCCCCCTCTCCATGACACTTGTGTTTGGTTCATGCACTAAAGGGGCTAACTAGGAGTGGCACCTTCTCTCTTGCCCTGGTTTCTCTGTTGTATGCAACAGGCAGAAATTCAACAGGCACAGCCTCCCTTAGATTTGCACCATTCATTTATTCAAGTTTTTTATAGGCCACTCCTTTCTAAATGTTTTCAGATTGTTTTAAATACATTTTACAGTGGTGCCTCGCAAGACGAAATTAATTCGTTCTGCGAGTTTTTTCGCCTTGCGAATTTTTCGTCTTGCGAAGCACGGTTTCCCTGGGTATTAACGCTTTTAAGAAAAAGGAAACAAACTTGCAAGACGTTTTCATCTTGCAAAGCAAGCCCAGAGGGAAATTCGTCTTGTGAAGCAACTCAAAAAACGAAAAACTTTTTCGTCTTGCGAGTTTTTCGTCTTGCGAGGCATTCGTCTTGCGAGGTACCACTGTATTTTATTCCATTTTATTCTATTCTATTTTACGCTGCATTGTTTTACTGCATGGTTGCTTGCAGGCCTGGGCTTCTTTGAGGATGTCGGGTGCACAGATAGATAATGAATAAATAAGTAACTTTGAATAAATAATAATATTCATCCCGGAGTAGTTTATAATGCAATCTAAAACACAGCAATAATAAAAACGTAAGATCAGATCAATTAAAAGAAATACATTAACACAATGCACAGATTAAAGCAGGAATTAAAACAGCCACACAAATACTTCAATGGCAATGTTTTAAAATGTGGGATTGCTAGGCTGGAGGAATGTTGAATTTATGCCTGTTATACAGCAGCAACTTTAGAGCTGAGATCTGGGGTCCCCCTCTGCCACCCCTGTGCAACAATAGCAGACTGCGCTTTTGAGCTGTGCACCCACCTGGGTACAAAAAAACCACACAATCCTGGTTGATGGGAAACTTGGGTCACTCTCATACTGTCACTAATTTGCAGGTGGGATCCCATCACCGGTCGCACTATTAAAATAGATTTGGAGCTCTTGTAAAACAAATGCTTTTCCAAAAGCAACTGGACTTTTTACAGTAAGGAAAGTGATGAAGAAATGCACCAAAAGGTGGGGAATAAATAACATTTGCTCAAGGTAATGTTGCAAAACATCCCTGTAAAAAAAATCAAAATGAATGCTTAAGAAACCCTATAACCTCCCCACAAAATTTTATGCACACAAATCAGGATGACCACTCAATAAGCAGGTCATTGGGAAGAGGATTTGGTCTTAGATGGGCACTGGTGGATGGAGAGACAAAAGGGAGTACCTGAAAGGGCTTACCTGAGTGACACCCTGCTTACTTTCAGAGGAGTCCTCTCCACCCTCCTCGGAATACTCCGGGCCCATGTCCATTAGGCGATTTTTCTCCTACACCGAGAACGACAACAAGTCATATATGTAAGGGTCTGGTGACTTCTGTTTAAGTGTATCTAAAGAAGTGTGCATGCACACGAAAGCTCATACCTATAACAAACTTAGTTGGTCTCTAAGGAGCTACTGGAAGAAATTTTGTTATTTTATTTTGACAACAAGTCATGTTGTCATACAGTTGCAAACGTTGCTTCAGGTCAGCTTGACCCATAAACGGATCTGGTGCCCCATTCATTTCCCCTCCTCCCACCACCCCACGTCTTCCTACTGTCGGTTCACCCACAAAGAATAGGTACTCTTCAACTGTCCCAGTAAAACTGGAATACCCCAATTTTTTTCGTGTGAGAACACAGTGCTCATTTTGGGTGCCATAATCTTGCTTCCCCCCAAAAAAATGCTTTTGGGTGCCATAATGATCTCACTCAGCACCCCAAAATATGCATTTTTGGGCACTGTGCTTCCATGCATGAGCACAGCCCTGGAAAAACTTGTCTTTCAGGGGCCCAATCTCATGCACGTAACGTGACTCGCATGGACACACACCTTGGTTTTTCACCTTGACGTTTTGTAAGGTATGAGAATAGCTTCATGGTGTATTTAGTGCCCTCCTTCCTCACAATAAAACCCCTGGTCTCCTCCACTGCCATTGGGTCTAGCGCCACCTGCTGTTGGGTTTCCTTGTCTTCTCCCCCACCCATCCCTATGGGAACCAGCCACCACTGAAGCCTAAGAGCCAAAACCTCTGCTTTCCATCCCCAGAAAGAAGCTTAGTGGCAGGGAACTGAAAGCAAGACTTTGCATTAGTTGTTATTGTTGGGCATGGGAAGCAGACTGGTGTAGGAGAACAGGGAACCTGGGATCCTGGGTGTTTTCCTGGCTTTCGGCCAGAAATTCCTTGCTGCGCTGAGATTCCTGGGAATTCCTTACCGCGTTGAGATTCCTGACGGCCTCGCCTTTCTCTTGCGCAAATCGCTGGCTCTCGCCCACCATTTGCTCCTGTGTCAAACGGGCCTGTCCTTCCAGCCTCTGCACCGTCCTCTGGATATGGGGGAGAGAACCTGGTTTAGAATCCTCAGACTTCAGGGCAACACAGAGCTCTATTGCACCTAGGATAATTATACACAGGGAGCCCCTCTTGTGTCGTGGTCAGGTGCAGTAGAAGCAAAAACACAACCCCAAGGTTATTGACTAATTAAATAACGCTTAGCTGATGACTCATCTGCCTTTTCACAGATTTAACTATCACGTGTGCAGAATACCCCAAGCTAAACATGGATCTTTTTTAGAAAGCAAAAGGTAGACAGGTGAATTGTGTGCTAACCTACAGCTTTAACAATGCTCCTTTATTGAAAGGAAAGGCCATCTTCTTTTTCATCCTTTATTTTATACATATCACAGCAGGGGGGAAAAGACAAATAACACCCTTCAAAAATATACTTAAGAGCCTCTAAGTCTTGATCCCTCTGTTTAAAAGTTGGCACCACTAGTTCAAAGGTGACTCCTGCATCAATTGAGCAACTAAAATTTCAGTTGGTCGATCTATTGATTGGACCAGATTTAAGTGTGCAGTCAAAAGAAAACAAAAGGAAAACAGAAGTACCAGATCTGTTTGTCGTTGCCTTGGCAAAGCAGCCTGGAGCACAAAAAAACACCCGTGCTACTTTTTAAAGAATAAATGTGTAAGAAATAAATGCTGCGCACATGAAAATGGCAGGAGAGGAATGTCCCTTCTCATCCTGAAATAAAAAACCCTGCAGCAGCCTTTGCACCAAACTGGTGCCCTTGAGATGTTTTGAACAACAACTCTCAAACAGCACTGTCAGGGCCCCAGGTCAGAGAAGGCTACTATAGGGTGAGCAGAAAGCCTGGAACTGGATTTGTGGGTCATCAAGACTGCCACTTACCTTCCTTTGGTTGATGCTGTTCTGCAGCTGAGTGATCTCTTCGGCCAGAGCCTGGCAGATGGCCTCCTTCTCCTCTTCCAACCGGCTTTCCCGCTCCAATTGCTGGAACTCCAGATCTTCATAGCATCTCAGGGCTCCATCTAGCATCTCAGATGTCTGGGTAGAGAACCAGAGTCAAGATAGACTTCTGGGTCCCATCACTTATTGCCAGAAGGACCCAGTGCCAGATTCCCACAATTTGCAAGCCAGTAGAAGTTTCTTCCTGGCTTGGATTTTTTTAGGCCTGCATTGTGGAGACCAGCCTTCCCCAACCTCCTGGTGCCTTTCAGATGTTTTGGACCACAACTCCCACCCAACCCAGCTGTGGTATTGGGGGCTGATAGCAATTCAAAGCCCCCTAATTAGGGGAGCCTGTCCTAGATTTCACCACTTGAGATCGTAGGTTGGGAGAAACCACATTTTTAAATGCACACGGCACAGAAAACCCTATTAGAAACATGCAAACACAAGGAGCTGCTGCCTTATACTGATCAGACCACTGGGCCCATCAAGCTCAGCACTGCCCACACTGACTGGCAGCTCCCCAAGGTCTTAGCCAGGAGGTGTCTCCAAACTGTAGCTGGAGACACCAGGGGCTGAACCTGTGATCTTTTGCACGCATGTGTTCTGCCAGTGAACCACTGCCCTTCCCTAAAGGTCTAGGCTACAGCCCTTCTCTCCCTGATGCCTATCTTCCTATAAGCAGAGAGTTTGATGCATGTCTTCAAATCGCACCATCTGCCCCACTTGCTGTCTAAAGTGGTAGCAACCAAAGAGAGAAATCACACAATCTGACCTGCTTTTTGCACGCCGCCATACCAGACCTGTTTCTGGCAGCTCCTTGCTGCACACTCACCTCCTGAAGCTGCTTCTGCATCCGTTCCCGCATGGATTCAGGCTGGTTGTCCAGGTGGATCTGTGATTCAGCGTGCTGCCGCTGCAGCTCCTCTACCTTGTGACGCTCTCTCTGCAGCCGCACCTTCTCCTGCCGAAAAAGAGGGCAGGGAGAGCATTACTACATCTCCATGGGCAGCAAATATCCAGCCGCTTTTGCTCCACCTAGTAGGTTACCAGATTAGGCGTTCCTTTCCCAACTGTGATCGGCGCTGCGATAAGTGCCGCTTGGGAGGCCAAGTTCTCACTGATGAAATAAAGGCGAAGTCCAGGCTGCAACACTTCAGAGTGCAGGCAGGAGTGCAGTTCAGGGTAGGGTCACCTGGATTCAGTCTACCCATCACTTTTGCCAGCATGGGAAGATTGGAAACTGCCTTGTGCTAAGTCAGACACATTGGTCCATCACATTGGTGACACTGCCCAGCAGTAGTTTTCCAGGTGTCCCTCCCAGTCCTACCTGAAGATGCTGGGATTCGAACCTGAGACCTTCTGCATGCAAAGCAGATGCTCTACCACTGAGCTATGGCCCTTCCTCTTCTCCCACTGAGGAATGGAAAGATATACCGTATTTTTCGTCCCATAGGACACTCCGTCCCATGGGACGCACCTAGTTTTTTTGGGGGGAATAAAGGGAAATTTCCCCCCCTTTATTTCCCCCCCAAAACCAGGTCAGGGAACAGCGGTATGGCGGCGCTCCGCCTCCCCGCTGTCCCCTGAGCTTGTGGGGCTGGCTGATGTCTGCCCGAAGTGCGGGGCGCTCTGCTTCAGCGCGCCCCACGCTCCGTGCAGCAGGCTGCTATCCGCAGCCTAGGGAGCCCTGCGGGAACTCCCACGGGCTCCCCAGGCTTGCTGATAGCTTCCTGAAGCCTGGATAGCGAGAGGGGTCAGTGCGCACCGACCCCTCTCGCTCTCCAAGCTTCAGCGAAAGCCTGTATTCGCCCCATAGGACGCACACAGATTTCCCCTTCATTTTTGGAGGGGGAAAAGTGCGTCCTATAGGGCGAAAAATATGGTAACTAGTTGCTAATTACCATATTTTTTACTCTATAAGACTCACTTTTTCCCTCCTAAAAAGTAAGGGGAAATATGTCTGCATCTTATGGAGCGAATGAAGGCTGTGCAGCTATCCCTGAAGCTAGAACAGCAGGAGGGATTGCTGCTTTAACTGCGCAGTGATCCCTCTTGCTGTTCTGGCTTCTGAGATTCAGAATATTTTTTTTCTTGTTTTCCTCCTCCAAAAACTAGGTGCGTCTTGTGGTCTGGTGCGTCTTATAGAGCGAAATATACGGTAATCAGCATTTTCCTTCTTCCCTGTGTTCTCTTGCTTCTTGTTGTGCTGTTATTCCTCACTGCTTCAGGCACTTTGACCTCCCAGCCCATCAACAAGGTGTTGTGCTCTGCTAGGAGCAGACTTTGGACATCAAGGTGGAGATTTAGCGCCCTCCTGTGTGTCAGCTACCTGTTAAGTTCCTTGCACTACTTAATTACAGGTACTTTTGAAGATTTCGGAAGGACAGCTTTTTACGCATATATATTCCTGGCGACAGCTTGTTGTTGTTATGCAGAAGTCCTGTGATGTGGGCTACTTGATGACAGCATTGCCTTTTTATTCATATAGGAAGAAAATATCTATTGCACCTGTCATCATAAATGACCTCAGGGCAGGACGCAACCATTTGCCATTTCTTCCCCCACCACACACACAAAAAGCTGAGAGACCTAAGACAAGCAGGGAAACAGTGGGGATGGCCTGCATTGCAAGGGGTTGGGCTAGATGACCCCTGGGTTCCCTTCCTACTTTAAGTTCTCTGAGTCTAGGACAAGAAAAAACATAAGGAGGAATATAGACAGCTGCCTTACACTGGTTTATCTAGCCCAGTATTGTCTTCACTGATTGGCAGTGGCTCTCTAGGGTTTCAGGCAGGAGTTTTGCCAGCCCTACCTGGAGATGTCAGGAATTGAACCCGGGACCTTGTGCCTATAAGGCAAATGTTCTACCAATGGGCTACAGTCCTTCCTCCATTCTGTGTGTAGGTGTGGTGGGGTTTTGTTTTCGTTTGACCAAACACCGCTTTTCTGTCAACTTAAGCTTTGCTTTACTGTATTATATAACACTAAAAGGCCAAAGTAGTGAACAATAATAGGGATGATGAGAAAGCCTTTGAATTTCAGTTTCAGTCTCAAAATACAGACAAACAAAGAGCCTCGTGGAGCTTTAAATGCTAACAAATATATTATGGCATAAGCTTTCCTGGACAACAGTGCACTTCATCAGACGTATAAACTGTTACCTTGAGTGGAAGGTATATATATCCATAACATGCATGTGCGTGTTTTAAAGGGAATGTGCACTGAGAGGTTAATGTGCATAGCAACTGGCCATTGTGCATGTTCACCAGGCCTCATGGGGAATGTGCATATAATCTTTCCAATAAGAGGCAATAATGTACATTTCCCATCAACAGACATACTTGCCAACTGCCCTTGCGGAATGTGCATATGTCGACTACATTTGGTCAGAGGTGTGCAATCGGTTCGCTGCCCGGGCTGCTTCCAGACCACTGCCTGATCTTACATGATCCACAACATACCCTCCCACTGATCAGCAGAGCAGTAAGAAGGACAGGAGGCTCCAGATACAGATTATTATTTTTCTGCAGTCCATCCTCTGCCACCTTTTTTCACCTGTTCACCAATCAACTGAGCAGCAGAAGAGGGATTGCAGGGAGATGAAGAATGCAAAACTTCCCTCCCCTTCCCACAGTCCTGATGGACCTTCCCACCATCACACAGGGGGGAAGATTCATCCAACTGGAAGAGTTACCCAGCAGGGAAAACAGAGCTGGCAGAGAAAGGGTGTGATCCTACCCATCCTACCTGTGCCATTCATCATCATCTCAGGATGATGCTATCTGGGCGACCACACAGGATCTAAACAAAAAAAATTCCTTCCAGTAGCACCTTAAAGACCAACTAAGTTAGTTCTTGGTATGAGCTTTCGTGTGCATGCACACTTCTTCAGATACACTGAAACAGAAGTTGCCAGATCCTTCTATATAGTGAGAAGGTGGGGAGGGGTATTACTCAGAAGGGTGGTGGGAATGGGAGATTGGCAGATAGCTGTGATGAGCCTGTTGACGACTCTTAACGACTGCAATAGGTCTTACAGGAAAAAGCAAGGGGTGAGATCTGACTTTCAATACTGTTTGCACTTGCAGAAGTTTCAGGGAGGTCGCACTGTTTCGCTTCCAATCGGTGCATATCCTGCAACTTTCTACTAAAATCACATAAGAAATGTTCCTGCATTGCATGGGGGGTTGGGCTAGATGACCCTCGGGGTCCCTTCCAACTCTGCAATCCTATGTCCTGGCTGATTTTTGCCCCGCTTTTGTTGCACTTCCATCCTTCCGGACAGCAATCATGCAGAGGCATCCAAGGAGCACCTCTGAACAAATGAAAGCGTGTTGCAAAACACACCCGCAATAAATCGCCAGCCTGAAGAGGCCCCTGGAGGCTGACGAGAGAAAGACTTAAGAGAGGAGGGCCTCACCTTCTCTCTTTCGGCGTGGCACCTGCGCTCCGTCTCCACGAGGCGCCTCTGCAGCTCCAGCAGCAGCTCCTCTTCCCTTCTCAGCTCCTGCTTCTCCTCCTTCAGTTCTCCTTGCAGCAAGGCTCCTTCCAGGTCCATCTGCTGGGGAAGGGGGCCATGTCAGAGGCGAGGTGCCCAAACATCCTGACTGGTGGCCGGCCAACCTCTACACAACCACCAGGGGGCAGACGGGCAAGCGGAATCATGGGATAAGAGCAATCGAGGAACGCAGGGGAAGTTCTAACTTCCAGGCTCCCCTGATCCGATCTGACCATTAGAGAACGCTCCTGAGAGCACCTTGGGAACTAAACACCGTGCGGCGAGGGATGCCCCGTTCTGTAGAACCAGCAGGTCCTGCTCTCTATGTATCTGTGACGTGCCTCAAGCCTTTCCCCACCTGCCTGGGTGTGGCGCCTCCACCATACCGGTTTTACAGGTGCCAATTGTCACCCATCAGACACCCCTTTCCTCGCGAAACAGGGAGGGGGTTGTAGGAGACTGAGGCGTACCTCAATGTTCACCTCCTTCTTCCGGTGATGCAGCTCCTTGATCCGATTCTCAAGAGCCGAGATCTTGCTCACAGCATGAGTTGGCCGCAGCTGCTTCTCCTTCGTGCTGCAGCCAATTCTTCCTGTTTGGGGACTCTCGTACTGGGGAAGGGAAACATGATATATAAATCAGGGTTTGCGTGTACACGTGCAGGCTTTGTTCGCACAAACAAAACCCTGTGGGTGGTTCTGAGCCCCTCGCCGTAAGAGCTTAAGAAGGGCCTATATCTAGCTGCTGAAGATGTGTCAGCTAAAACATACATTTGTACAATGTCCTACTTTGAAAAAATTCTGGCAGGAGGTAATAGAGCCAATCAACATGACTGTGTGGAGCAATCTTAAATTTGCAGAGGAAAAATATCCTTTTGAATTATATACGCAACACATGGAATCTACGTGCCCTTACTATGGCAAGAAGACTGGTCTTGATGAACTGGAATAAATTAAAATGCAGCTCCCTTGAATGATTGGATTGAAGATATGTACAAACTTGCTGCACATGAGCAGGTTGTGTACAAACACAGATTTGCCATGGACAAATTTAATGATATTTGTTATAAATGCCATATTAGATGAAGGTCTGGTTAACTACAATAACCCCCCCCCTTTTTTTGTAATGTACACAATATCTTTTGTTGTTGTTGTTGTTCTGTTTTGTTTCCTACATGGGTACTATTTCTTGTTTCTTCTTTTTGTGTCTTCTTTTACTTTGAGCACTTGTAATTTTGTACTTTTTAATTTTTCAATAAAGAATATGAAATAAATAAAGGACTTAAGAAGAAGTTGGGAAGCCTGCAATCAGGATCTGAGCACAAGAGCATCTTTCCCCTCCTGTGCTTCCCAGCAACTGGTATTCGGAAGCATTGCTGCTGCGTCTAACCATGGACTTCCTTTTCACTGGAGGTACCAGGTGCAAATCAAAACAGTGACCATCTTTGCATCTTTGTTCAAATGAGGTGCTCCAGCACTGAGCTAAGGTGTATCCCAGTAACTGTGCTAAAAGGTGTGGCTGAGTTTCCCTACCAGGATTGCAAAACTGAAACTGAAAAAGTCAGCTTGGAAGGCTAGAGATTAACACTAGTCCCTTCGCAAGAGAAGAGATTTTGTTCTTTCCGAACTCTTCCTCCCAGCCCTGCTCCCATCCTTTACCCCTTTGTCCAATTGGTACTTAACTAAAAGCTATGAAGACCTAAGCGTACCTGAAAACCAAAACTTCTGTCTTGGGAATCCTTCCAGTGACTACATACAGCGGTACCTTGGTTCTTGAACACCTTGAGACTCGAATGTTTTGGTTCCCGGACGCTGCAAACCCAGAAGTGAGTGTTCCGGTTTGCAAATGTTTTTTGGAAGCCAAACATCCAACATGGCTTCCGTGGTTTCCGATTGAGTGCAGGAAGTTGCTTGGTTTTCGAATGTTTTTGGAAGTCGAACAGACCTCCAGAACAGATTCCACTCGAGAACCAAAATACGACTATAGTAGGAAACTAAGAGGAGGTGTTGACCATTCACCACACAGATGAGCTTCGTAGAAGGAGGAGGAAAAACTGCTCATTTCCCTCCTTAGCAACACCCAGACTAATGGTTTTAGGAGTCAGTGGCAAAAGGGCTTCTGGTTTGCTGCCACATGAGAACTTAAGAAGGGTCCTGCTGGATCCGGCCGAAGGCCCACCAAGTCCAGTATCCTGTTCTCATGTTAGCCACCCCAATGCCTAACTGGGACCTTCTGCATGCAAAGCAGATGCTCTACCAATGAGCTTTGGCTCCTCCCAAACTACCCTAATGCTCAAAAACCTGCATTAGCAGCCCCAATCTCTGCCCAAACACTGAGTCCTTTGGGTCACTGTTTGTGGCACCTATGGCTTGGATGCATGGTTTGTATTCGCTGGGAGCTGTGCAGTTAATATTGTGGGCCCAACTCCCTTCTGGTTGGGGTTAGCAGGCCTCATCCCTGTTGATCTTCCAGTGTCTACTGAAGACCCCTCCCCCCCATTAGCTGAAGTCTGATTGTGTCATTTTAGCAAAAGGCGAAATATTCGTACGATCTGAAGAGAAACCAGAGTATCTGATTGTGTGGTTTTAACTCCCTTTTCTGTAATGCATTTCTTGTGCACTGCCTAGAGATGATTGCACTTCTCTACCCGTTGTTTGATTAAAAGAAAAACCTTGGGAGCTGCCTTGTCCCAAGGAGGACCATTGGTCCGTCTATAGCTCAGTATTGTCAACAATGACTGGCAGCAGCTGTCCAAGGTTTTGGGCAGGGCACATTCCCAGCCCTGCCTGGGGATATCAGGGATTGAACCTGGGACCTTCCGCTTGCAAAGCATATGGGGCTGGCGAGCAGAGAAAGCAGAGGAGGCAGCCCCTAGCAAATGCATATGCCATATGCATATTTACCCATGTCATTTCTGTTAAAAACACCCTTCTCCTGCTTGACGAAGGAAAAGGCTCAAAAGCCAATTAAGCCTCAGATGAGAAACAAGACCTAGATGTTTTCTGCCACTCACCCCATTCTGGGCACTCTCTGTGCTGCTGGCTTCATCCTCCTCCATCCCGTCACTGGAGTTTCTGCCTGGACTGGAGCCACCTTCCAAAGAAAGGGCATCTTCTATGCTACACTGGGCTGGGGACCCCTCCTTGTCTGGTGACTGGCACTTGGGCATATCCTCCAGGCGATCCTTCTCCGATTTGGTTGAAAAGGGGCACAGCTCCGCTTGGCTCAGCACCCCCATGGCATCCGAGTTCTGTAGCACCATCGCTCAACAAGGCATGATATCCGCTGCGAGGATAAACAATAATAACAAAGACCCCTTGTTATTTAGTCACCAGCATCGTCTATTTCTTTACTGACTTGTGATTCTGTTTGGGAATCATTTCCCACGGTTTTGTAGCACGAAAGAGGCACGCTAAAAATAATCCCGCATGCGAAAAGCAACGGAAAAACAGTTCCGTGTATATAAAAACAACAACTCGAAACGCTTTCATGCATGAAAACAATTTCAAATCCAACACAGGTACAGAGAGGGATAAAGATCTCCGCTTGAAATGATCTTCAGCAGGTGCCAGAAAGACCACAGAGGTGGTTTTTGCTTGATATATAACTGCCAAAGGATTGGTGTCACCAAGGGCTGCATTTAATGTAGAGCTAAGATGCGCTTTGCATGAGCAGAACGGTTTCTACTGCATGGCGGGGCAGTGTTCCCCTCCAGGCACCCCATAAACCTGTCCTGAGTTTTCCCCCAAGCCCAAAGCCCAAAGTGGATTCGGCGACAGTGAGGGGGTGCCTTTGGTTGCAGTGCGGTTTTAGCTTGCTTTGTTCATTCTTTTCTTTGTGTATTTTTTTTTAAAAGCATTATCTGTCATTTAGTACATTCTGGACCCCAAAGGTGTGGTACAAATATTTTAAGGCATGAATAGATAAACACAGGTGTAATGCCCTGAACTTCTGAAACACACCCCATGAATGCTAAGTATTTTCCCCCTCCCTTTCTTACGCAAAGGTAGAAAGCCAGCCCTGTTTATTGCAACTCATTACCATAAGTTGGGGCCAAGCCCTCGGGGACTTCATATGTCAAAGTCAGCATCCCATAATGGACTCCCTGCAATCAATTCTTTTTAGGGGAAAGAAGAAGAAAAGCTTACCAGGAGCCTGGAAGCGGAAAGGAAAGGAAATTCCCATTGCACCAAAGGCCAAGGGAATCCCAACTGCTTCTCAGCCTGCTGTCGCCTTTCCTTTGCCTGAGATAATCTAGTGGCAGGTCTAGGCACCATGTTACCTTGAATGCACCAATGCCAAATTGCCCCTAAGGGGCCCAGCATGCACATGCGATGCCACATGTCACCTGTGACGTCCCATGCATCTCCAAATGCTGGGTAGACCGGTGCCACCTTCCGCTAAACTGTGCCAGTCCCTGCAGCATCAGGAGATGCTGTGCAAGCCGGTGTGACCTCGTGCCATGCCCGCTGGTCCCATTGGCATCTCGAGACACAGTGAAGGCCAGTGCAGCCTTCTGCTGGCTGCAGATAGGTCTGGCAGGGCCCGCAACAGCTGCGGGAAAGCCAAGCGGGGCCCGACAGGCTGTGGATTACTGAGGAGCCCTGACCCTCTCCTTGAATTTTTTAGGGGGGGTCTTGCCCCTCTTCAGATGGTGCCCCTGCACAGGGGCAACAACTGGAGTTAGTGGTTCCTGGCCATTTTTGCCACCTGAGGTTAAAAGGCAAAGGAACAGACATGTTATAATAATAATAATAATAAATTATTTTTACCCCGCCCATCTGGCTGAGTTTCCCCAGCCACTCTGGGCGGGTCTCAATCGAGTGTTACAAACAACACAGCATTAAATATTAAAAACTTCCCTAAACAGGGCTGCCTTCAGATGTCTTTTAAAAATAGGATAGCTGCTTATTTCCTTGACATCTGATGGGAGGGAGTTCCACAGGGTGGGTGCCACTACTGAGAAGGCCCTCTGTCTGGTTCCCTGTAACCTCATTTCTTGCAATGAGGGAACAGCCAGAAGGCCCTTGAAGCTGGATCTCAGTGTCCGGGCTGAACTACAGGGGTGGACCGAGGCTGTTTAGGGCTTTACAGGTCTGCACCAACACTTTGTATTGTGCTCAGAAATATACTGGGAGCCAATGCAGATCTCTCAGGACCGGTGTTATGTGGTCCTGGCAGCCACTCCCAGTCACCAGTGTAGCTACCGCATTCTGGATTAGTTGTAGTTTCCAGGTCACCTTCAAAGGTAGCCCACGTAGAGCGCATTGCAGTAGTCCAAGCGGGAGATAACCAGAGCTTTCACCACTCTGGCGAGACAGTCTGTGGGCAGGTAGGGCCCCAGCCTGTGTACCAGATGGAGATGGTAGACAGCCGCTCTGGACACAGAATTAACCTGCGCCTCCATGGACAGCTGTGAGTCCAAAATGACTCCCAGGCTGCGCACCTGGTCCTTCAGGGGCACAGGTACCCCATTCAGGACCAGGGAGTTCTCCACTTCCACCTGCCCCCTGTACCCCAAGAACAGTACTTCTGTCTTGTCAGGATTCAGCCTCAATCTGTTAGCCGCCCTCCATCCTCCAACCACCTCCAGGCACTCACATAGGACATTCACCGCCTTCACTGGTTCTGATTTAAAAGAGAGGTAGAGATGGGTGTCATCTGCATACTGATGAACACCCAGCCCAAACCCCCTGATTATCTCTCCCAGCGGCTTCACATAGCATGGGGGAGGGGACAGAACCCTGAGGCACCCCACAAGTGAGAGCCCAGGGGTCTGAACACTCATCCCCCACCACCACTTTCTGGAAGCAGGGTCACTGAGGGACATGGTTTGAAGAAAGGAGGTGTGGCCTAGATTGAGCTGTGGGGGGCACAGAGAGAGTCCTGAAGGGCCACATTTGCACCCCAGACATGGGACACACTATCCCTGACAGGTATATTGTGCTCACGTATGCAGGGCAGCACAGTACACACCACATCAGCGACAGGACTGGCTTATGATATTTCATTGCCTGAGGCAGAAAATGCAATTATTTCTGTTCATTAGAGTCTATTAAATATTTCTAGATTTGCATCCATACATAAACATCAGTACGCGCACCTTCCATGCAAATCTGCATCCTCTTTCGGCGTCTTCTTTGGTGACACCTTTCCGATTTTTTGGTGACACATGAGTACCCGCCTTCGTTGAAAAGGGTGCCTGGGAAAGTGTCGCTGCCTCAGTCCTTTGGGGAGCTGCTGCTGCCAGTCAGAGTAGTCAGCCCTGGGCCAGACATTCTGGCCTAGTCTGAAGCAGCTTCCTGTGTAATAGCAGAGGAACTCTGGTTGCCCAAGTCTTTATTGGTGTGAGAATAATAAAGATGTGCAAGATGAGAATAATAAAGATGTGCAAGATCTGCAAGATGTGTGGGGTCAGGGGAGGGGGAAGGTATGAACCTCTTAGATAACTGCAGACCCTCCAAGTGTCCCTATTTTCCAGGGACAGCCCTGGATTTACAGAAGCCATTCTGGTTTCTGATTTGATCCCGGAATGTCCCACTTTTCCTTAGGATGTCCCTATTTTCATCAGAGGATATGGAGTTATGAGACCCCTAAGCTAAGGAGATAAGTATTGATACAACCTTTAGAAGACACCTGACGGCAGCCCTATATAGGGAAGTTTTTTAAATGTTTAATGTTTTATTATGGTTTTATATATGTTGGAAGCCACCCAGAGTGGCTAGGGCAACCCAGTCATATGGGAGGGGTATGATGATGATGATGACCAGTGCTTTTTTCTTTAAAAATGTTTAGGGGTACTCTCATTTTCCTACTCATATTGAAATACCGTCCCTCAATGAGGCCAAACTTAGATTCACAAAATGTTTAGGGGTATGCGTCCCCTCAGAAAAAAAGCGGTGGTGGTGATGATGATGATGATTGAATAGGACGTCCATATTTTCATCAGGCAAATGTTGGCGGGTATGCAACTGATGACCTAATAGCAACATCAAGTTTGCTTTAAATGTCTGGTGAGAGAATTTAAGACAGGCGTCCCCAAACTCGGCCCTCCAGATGTTTTGGGACTACAATTCCCATCAACCCTGACCACTGGGCCTGCTAGCTAGGGATGATGGGAGCTGTAGTCCCAAAACATCTGGAGGGCCAGGTTTTGGGGATGCCTGAAGAGTCGGGCTGCTGGATAAGGCCGCAGACCCATCTAGTCCAGCATCCTGTTCTCACAACAGCCAACCAGATGCCCACAAGAAGCCTCCCAGCACAGCTGCATCCTCCTTCAAATGCCCAGTGCCACATTCAGTGGAGGTGGAGAGCATTTCCATTGTGGCTGGTAGTCATCCAATAGCTTTCTCCTCCATGAATTTGTCCGGTCCCCTTTGAAAGCCTTCCAAGCTGGGAGCTGTCGCTACCTCAAGTAGGAATGTGGAGGCAGAGACCCACCACTTCAGCAGCCCGCTTATCTCTCCTAGTTCTCCCTCCCGGCTTGTTTCCGTCTTCGCTAAGAGACGCTTTCACATCGGACCAAAATAACAGCAAGGTCAGGTTTTTCCACAGAAGCGGGTAAGATGCCAATGAAAAGGAACTGAACACAGCCAGGAGGTCTGCTGAGGCAGCACAAGGGCTTGCCGACAGCCAGAGCGTGCCTTCAGAGACGCTTCGTTTCTCATCGCTCCAGCTCACTAATGAAGAAGGGCACTGTGGAAGAACATCTCCTTTGCATGCAGAAAATCCTGGGTTCAGTCCCCCAGGAGACCGGCAGTGGGGAAGGCAAGGAGGTCAACAGCGGATGGAGACAGGACCAATAATAAGCAGAGCCAACTAATTGTAGATTGACCCCCGCTCTCCTGCCTGCTGAGTTCTGCAAAAGCAACACTGAGGTTAAGGAGGAAGAAGCTGACAGACAAAGCCACTCCTTGGACTGGTTGTAAATAAGAAGGCAGGTGGATGAGGCAGAATGAGACTGGTGAGGAAGCGCTCCATTTGTCCTAATGGACGAGGCTCCCTTGCTATGCTACCTGAGGGAAACTTCTCCTATTTTTCAGGAAGTTTGTTGCAAGGCTGGCTGCATATCCTGTGACCACACAGCAAACGAGTTCCATGGTCCTTAACAGCTACAGGCCTCTTCCCAGCCTTTGGAATGACACGTCTTTCTGCTTGCATTTGGTCAGAGAGGGCCTGAAAGTGGGATTTGAGCTGGAGTTTGGGAAATTGGGAATAATCTTGGGCCAGGCCTGCAGCCGTTCCACCCCACCCCCTCATCCCAAAAACCTGCTGCAGAGTTAATG